TGTCCTCTGTGGGACAGCATTCTTGGTTAAGGTTAAAATTTACATTTAAATGTGGCTCTTTCCTAATCTGGGATGATATCGAATCAGATAGGGTCAGGGAATCCTATGCCCAAACTCAAATATTTCAGAAGTCCATTGAACAATATGGGGCTTTGAAACTTGTTTCAACAATCAATGACCCCTTAAATCCCTGTAGATAGGCAGCAAAGGTACTCTATCGCATTTGTTAGACAGGAGGAGGTAACATCTATAAGCATTTTTTAAAAATGAGACCGGTCCTCCGTTGGTCGAGGGGTTGAATAGTTCCGCTGACTTCTAGATCCAGTCAATGCTCTTGGGTGGGTCCCCAGGAAGTTTGGCAGTTTAAGCACGGAGGATAGGATAAAGTTCTAGTACTGGTGTTAATACTATCCAGGAACGGAATGGTTAGGAAACTATCCGCCTATATACTGAAATACCTGTTGGAGAAAAAAAGGCCCGTAAATGAAAACAAAAAAATAAAACAACTTATTAAAAAGCATTTTGACAGAATTTCATGCCCCTTTTTTTTGACTGTTGTATAAGAATTTGACGTTAATGTTTTTTGTAACACCTCAAAATTTTTCAAAGTCCATTGAACATAAGCTTGTAACTTCGCAACACTGTTGTTCACGCAAAATCATGACCCGGAGGAACGCTGTATACCAGAGGAGGTTAAAACTGGTGAACCAATATTTAGGCAGAATTTATGCCCCTTTTTTCAACTTAAAATTTTTACATTTAAGGTTTTTGCCATACCACCTCAGATATTTTTTCATATTTTATTGACTTCTGGCTACAGTGGATTGCCCTCATGCTTGGACACAAAATAACAATTGGAGTAGAAGCCCCTTTAAGTTGACTGAATCTTGACTTTAAAACCTTGACATATAAAGTGACCTTGACGATTCAAGGCCAAAATACATATGAATTTTTGTTTGAGTTGATGTGTATTTTAACTTTGTAAAGTATTCGTATTTGTAAGTTTTTTGCACCAACTTGAGGGTGACGGGGCCCTTTGAGATATAACCCTGATGCTTGTTCCCGTTCGTACGTCCAAGCTATATCTTTCCGTCCGACATCGTCATTCTCTTGTGTCGCAACGTGAGGACCTAGAGTCCATTGGACCCTTACAAAATGCACCCTAGGTATTTTCATGTGATTTATTTAGCTGTTTTTTCTTAAGAGTTTATATTCGACCGTTGGAGTTAGTAAACATTTGCAATTTGTCACGGTTTGTGTCGTCGTAAGTGAAAAAGTAAGTTTGACTACTGTGGGTCATGAAACTTTAAATAATGTTGATCAGCATGTGAAGGTTTGTGCACCTGGGTCTATTTTGTGGATTTTCTTTTGTTGTTGTCCAGAAGTGTAATGCCCCTCTTGACTTTTGAAAAAAATTTGCAAATTTTCAACTCTGGTATCGACGACTTAGCTCAAAAAAGTACTACATCAGTTTAAACCTAGCAGGGGTCAATTAAACACTTATGTACAGGAGTTGATCAGATGTTTAGTTGTGCAACCTTGGGTATCTTACTCATGTTGGATTTTATTTTAGTGTGTTTTTAGAGTTATTACAGTTGACTTAGTAAACCAATTTGCACTTTTCAAAACTTGTGTCGCCCCGTTAAAGTGAACAAAGTATATGACCTAAGTGTCCAATGAAACGCTTTAATAGAATGTTGATTGCAGCATGTGAAAGTTCGTGCACCTGGGTTTTATTTTGTGGAATTTTCTTTTTTTGTTTGTCAGAAGTAATACTGCCCTTGACTTGAAAAAATTGCAATTTTCAATTGTACTGCCTTGAGCTTCCAAACTATAATTACCTCGGGTCATTGAAAACTTTAACAGGGAAGTTTGATCAGCATGTTTTTAGTTGTGCACGCTGGGTATGATTATGTGTGGAATTATTCGGCGGTTGCTGATGGAAGTCACTGGTAATCCTGCCTTTTGTGAACATCACAGATCATCGTAGTCTGGTGTTACCAAATGCAAACGGGTCTGTTTCTGTCTTTTGACTCATAATTGATAGTATTGTAGGAGGTTATTCGCCCCTGACATTAGGTAAAATTTGCCCAATTTTCACCTTGTGTTCCACGTAGCTCAAAAAGTGATCGAGATTATAGGTCATGAAACTTGACAGGAATGTTGATAAGACCATGAGTAGATCGTGCACCTTTGGTTTTGCTTGTGGTTTATCCAGTATTTTTGTAGAGTATATTCCTTGACTTAGTGCACAATTACAATATGGCAATTTTGTGTTGTGCAGGTACAGCTCATAATGAAGTTTTTCCTAGAGTCATGAAACTTAGTAGAAATGTTTGTCAGCATGTGTAGTTGTGCATGTTGCGTTTCGCTTGTGGATATATCCAATTTTTTTGTTAGATTTATTGCCTTTGACTTAGTAAAAACCTGTTTCGATTTAATTATTACTGTTGTGTTATTTGTTCAACTCTGAGTGCGTTTTGTATTTAATAGAATTAAACAACCTTTAAAAGGAATTATGATGCAACATCACTGTGGATGCCTATGCACCTCGGATTTTTGAGGCATGCGGATTTATTTTCAGTTTATTAGAGTTATTGCCCTTGACTTAGTATAAAATTTGCAATTTTCAACTTGTTTTCATGCATAGCTCAAAAAAAGTATTTCTGACCTGTAGGAAGAATGTTGGCCAGCATGTTGTACTGATGCACCTTGGGGTTCGATTGTGGATTTATTCAGTATTTGTATATAAAATTTTTGCCCTCTTAACTTAGTAAAAGATTTTTACTTTTCAACTCGTGGGCACATGTAGCCCCAAAAAACATTTGACCTAAGAGTCAAACTGTGGAATTTGGGGACACCTGTGTCCTATGGACACATATTCTACATGTAGTTAGGGGTTTTTATTCATACTTGTAACAAACAGCACTTATTACTTATAAACCTGTTGAATTATCAAACTTTCACCTTGACTTTAAAGTTTGACCATGACTGGTTTTATTGTCATCTTTTTTAACATGCTCCTATTGCCAGTATCATTTGTTGTTTTATTATTAAACAAATTTGATTCATACTTTGAAAAAAAAAAATTCGTTATTTGAAACGCCTTGTGTCAGATACCTTATAAAGCTTTCTGCAACATGGAAAAAAACTAGAAAACTATTTGGCCTGAGGTCTTAGAAGGGCAAAACCTAGATTGAAAAATTAAGATGTTTGGTATTCTTTCTTGATCTTTAGGCATGTAAAGTTTTCTCAGTTTATGTATATGGTTTTTACTGCCTTTTGGTTGCATTTTCTTATCTTTTTATTCTCGCCGGAAGATGAAATGGGCTCCTGCCTTAAAAGATAAAAGTTTCGGAATATCGACCAAGAAAGAAGCCAGAGTGTCCCTCCCTTCCATCTCATTTTTGGAGTTTAATCCAATGGATATTACCATATATGATAATACGTAAACAAAGAAAGTTTAACACGAGAGATTAGGGAATTGAACAATGTTAAATAAAGTATGAGGAACTTTTTTCTGTAAAATGACCTCAACCATTAAGGTCAAACATGAAGTTTTGATTCAATTCTGTAATATTTTTCCCCTGATGTGTTTGCTTTTAAGCTCACCTGTCACAAAGTGACAGGGTGAGCTTTTGTGATTGCTTTTTGTCCGGCGTCCGTCCGGCGTCCGTCCGTAAACTTTTACTTTAAATGAAATCTCCTCATTAACCACTGAGCCAATTTCATCCAAACTTCACAGGAATGTTCCTTTGGTGGTCACCTTTAAAATTGTTCAAAGAATTTAATTCCATGCAGAACTCTGGTTGCCATGGCGACCGAAAAAAAACAACTTTAAAATATCTTTTTTTAAAAAACCGAAAGAGCTAGAGCTTAGATATTTGACATGAAACATCTTCTAGTGAGTGTCTACCAAGTTTGTTCAAATAAAAGCCCTGGGGTCAAAATTGGCCCCGCCCCAGGGAGTCCATTGATTTTCCCTATATGCCATATAGTAAAAACTTAAAAAATCTTCTTTTAAAGAACCCAAAGAGCTAGAGCTAAGATATTTAGCATGAAAACATCTTCTAATGAGTGTCTACCAAGTTTGTTCAAACAAAAGCCCTGGCGTCAAAATTGGCCCCACCCCAGGGGGTCATTGATTTTCCCTATATGCATATAGTAAAAACTTAAAAAATCTTCTTTTAAAGAACTCAAAGAGCTAGAGCTAAGATATTTAGCATGGAACATGTTCTAATGGGTGTCTACCAAGATTGTGTATAGTAAAAACTTAAAAATATTCTTTTTTAAAAACCCAATGAGCTAGAGCTTTAGATGTTTAGCATGAAACATCTTCTTTTTGGGTGTCTACCAAGTTTGTTCAAATAAAAGCCCTTGGGTAAAAATTGGCCCTGCCGGGGTAGGGGGTTAGGAGTGCAGAGGTCATTGTTTTTCATTATATCTGTGTAGTAAAAACTGAACATCAAGAAACATCTCTTCTAATGGGTGTCTTAAGTTGTTCAAATAAAGCCCTTGGGTTTAAACTGGCCCTGCTCCAGGGGCCTATATACAGGTGAGCGACCTCAGGGCCATCATCCCTCTTGTTTTTATTGTTGAAGTGTGGCCCTCGCTTGGAAGTTGGACTCTTGCTTTTATTTTTTTTTACCCATGTGGTTGAAATTAGTCCTGCTGAGTGATCACTCAATTTACATAGACAGTACGTGATAAGCACCCTTATATACCCTTTTGTTTATTCTACCTATTCTGAGCCTCTCCCTTGAACTTTTAGTCGAGACATCCGCAGTTTTTTATCTGCAGATGAAAGTTTTTCAAATCTTCTGCCTTTACCATCAAAGTTTTCAACAACCAGCACAAACATGTACTGAGATGTCTATAAAGGATAATAAATCATGCCATTGAGACCAAAGTTGAGTACACTCCCACTCAACAAAATTTTAGTAATACGCAATAAAGTTTGAATAATTGACAAAAATATGTGTACTTTTTGCTTTATTTAGGTGAATGATATATCTGGACAAGTGGAGAGTATTAAAGGGGAAGTAACTGCTGCCATGTCGGAGTTAGAGAATGACCAGGCATCACCACTGAATGTTGACTCCCCTAAACCAGTCACGAAACAAGATGCATTCTCCAGTCTTACAGAGTATATCAAAAGTCAACAATACCAAAAAGCAATACAGCTTGTCAGATCTTTCAGGTATGGTTTCGTAGGGAACTAATACAGTTTCTTATGCCCCCGGGCATATAGTGATTGAACTGTCTGTCGGTCCGTCTGTCTGTCTGTCTGTCTATCCGTACGAGGTTAACCTAGAACTGCAAGTTGGATTTTTCTTTAGTTCTACCTGTACTAATGGCTTCTACGTTTACACACTTACTAATCAATACAAAGTACATAATCTGGGCAAGTTACATAACTCTGTCTTTCATATTTACCAAGTTATTGCCCTTTTCAGCACTTAGAAAATGAATAATGGTTAACCTAAAATGGCAAGTTGGAAATATCTTAAGTTCTATCTATATTAATGGCTTTATAATTTCCACACTTACTTATCAAACAAAGTACATGATATTGCCAAGTTATATAACTGTGTCATCCATATTTCCCAGTTATTTCCCTTTTTTCACTTTGAAAATAGGGCCTTGTCTGGTTAACCTATTTCAGCAAGTTGGATTTATCCTAAATTTCTCGAAATTGCTTAACTTCTTTAATGATATCTTTCATATTTAGTAGGTGGATACCTTTAAATGGTCCTATAAGTTTTTGTGAAGTAAGCGGTCTCTAGGGTCAAGGTCAAGTTCACTGGTTTAAAAAATAAATATAAACATTTTGCTCATACAGCCTTTATATTTTAGTTGATGACTTAGTTTGATACAAACATGCGAAGGGATGTCCTCCTTCTTTGGGTGTAGTAAGGGGTCATTTGGGTCAAGGTCAATGTTACCAATGTCAAGGTAACCAATGTTAAAAATAGATTTTTACATATTTACAGGTGTATTGACCTTATTCTATAGACATATGTTATTTATAACTGATAGAAACATAAACTTTGATGGAGTTAGTGGTCAGTTGGGTCAAGGTCACCAGTGCTAAAATAGATGTTTACACATTTGCTCATACAGCCTTTATTAAGTGACAGATATATTTTATATTTGGTAGGAAGATAACTTGCATGGTATTCATCCCTTTGATTGGAGTAGGGATCAGTGGGTCAAGGTCACTTGTGCTAGAAAATAGATTTTTACACTTTTGCCCATACAGCTTTTATTTATTGACAGATGTATTTCATATTTGGTAGGAAGATAACTTGCATGGTATTCTTCCTTTGGATGGAGTAAGGGGTCAGTTTGGTCAAGGTCACCAGTGCTAAAAATAGATTTTTACACTTTTGCCCATACAGCTTTTATTTATTGACAGATGTATTTCATATTTGGTAGGAAGGTAACTTACATGGATTTCTTTATTTGGATGGAGTTAGGGGTCAGTTTGGTTAATGTCACCAGTGCTCAAAATAGATGTTTACACTTTTGCCCATACAGCCTTTATTTAATGACAGATGTATTTCATATTTAGTAGGAAGATAACTTGCATTAAGTTGAATAGCTTTCAAATTCACAAGTCAGAGCAATGACTTGGCAACTTATATTTTTCACAATTACAAAATGCCATAACTTTGTCAAGCTATATAACTTGTGTTTACGATTTTTTGGCAATTTTTCTGTCCATAACTGAGTGAATGGGTAAACATTTTTGAAATATTGCTACTGACAAGAATCTGAGCCGGGGACATTTGTGTTTAACAAACTCGTTCTTGTTTTAGATATCCTTTGAAAAATAATTCTCAAGGGTAATTTACTGAAATCTATTTGACATCAATAGCATGTTTCATCTGTTAGAAATCTATGACTCACAAGTAATTGGAGTAAAATTACTTGTCCATATTTTCAAAAACAGTTTTGAACACGATAAATAAATGAATAAAATGTCTGATCGAGGGGTAATTGATTAATAGACACTGGAACTGACATGGAGCAATGACAAAATATACACATTAACCTTTCTAACTAATTATAATGACCATTTTTAATTATTAAGTCCTCCATTTCACCAAAATCAGAAGAATTGTTAAGACACAATGGACATGAAATACGTATAATTGCTTGTCTTGGAAAGTTTTTAAAGCCGCACTTGTATCATTACAGCACCCTTATATCCTTTTATATTACATGTCATCACTAAACAGAAAGTTATGCACAAACTTCACTCAGTATATTATAAGAATGTATAAACATTTCAGGACAATGTGGCCTGGTGACATGTTTGGACAATCACAGGATGATGACCTTGTTACCCTGCTCAATGTATTTTGTATTGAAATGGCTGAAAAGAAAACAGGTACCAGTACAGTCATATCATCAATATTTCATAATTGTTAAGGGTAAAATTGGTAATATATTTTAGAGAAATATATTTTGTTTTCATGCATTCACCAGAGCCGAAGGCTCAGGGTGAGCTATTAGTATCAAAGGGGGATGCTCCGGCGTCCGTCGTCCGTCGTCATGCGTCAACAATCGTCTTCTTTTCTGAAACTACTGGGCAGATTTACTTCAAATTTGGTCTGTAGCATCCTTGTGACAGTCACACTTGAATTTGCTCATGTCATTCCAATTGGCCCCTTTAAGCGGTCATCAGAGCTAAAAATAGAAAAACCTTTAAACATCTTCTTCTACAGAACTAATGGATGGATGATCACCAAACTTTGTCTGTAGCATTCTTAGGTAGTCTTTTATCAAGTTTGCTCATATGAATTTCATTGGCCCCTTTTAGGGGCCGCTATAGCTAAAAATAGAAATACCTTTAAACGTCTGTTTCTATAGAACTAATTGATGGATGATCATCAAACTTTGTCTGTAGCATTCTTAGGTAGTCTTTTATCAAGTTTGCTCATATTAATTTGATTGGCCCCTTTTAGGGGTCTCTAGGGCTAAAAATAGAAAAACCTTTAGACATCTTCTTCTACAGAACTAATAGATGGATGATCACTAAACTTTGTCTGTAGCATTCTTGGGTAGTCTTTTATCAAGTTTGCTCATATTGATTTGATTGGCCCCTTTTAGGGGTCTCTAGGGCTAAAAATAGAAAAGCTTTTAAACATCTTCTTCTACAGAACTAATGGATGGATGATCACCAAACTTTGTTTGTAGCATTCTTAGGTAGTCTTTTATCAAGTTTGTTCATATGAATTTCATTGGCCCCTTTTAGGGGCCGCTATAGCTAAAAAAAGAAATACCTTTAAACGTCTGTTTCTATAGAACTAATTGATGGATGATCATCAAACTTTGTCTGTAGCATTCTTAGGTAGTCTTTTATCAAGTTTGCTCATATTAATTTGATTGGCCCCTTTTAGGGGTCTCTAGGGCTAAAAATAGAAAAACCTTTAGACATCTTCTTCTACAGAACTAATTGATGGATGATCACCAAACTTTGTCTGTAGCATTCTTTGGTAGTCTTTTATCAAGTTTGCTCATATTAATTTGATTGGCCCCTTTTAGGGGCCACTATAGCTAAAAATAGAAATACCTTTAAACATCTGTTTCTATAGAACTACTTGATGGATGATCACCAAACTTTGTCTGTAGCATTCTTAGGTAGTCTTTTATCAAGTTTGCTCATATTATTTTCATTGGCCCCTTGAAGGGATCTCTAAAGCTAAAAATAGAAATACCTTTAAATGTCTTTTTCTACAGCACTTATTGATGGATGATCACCAAACTTTGTCTGTAGCATTCTTAGGTAGTCTTTTATCAAGTGTGCTCATATTAATTTGATTGGCCCCTGTTAGGGGTCTCTAGGGCTAAAAACAGAAAATTCTGCTTCTACAGAACTAATTGATGGATGATCACCAAACTTTGTCTGTAGCATTCTTAGGTAGTCTTTTATCAAGTCTGCTTATATTAATTTGATAGGTTCCTTTTAGGGGCCGCTATAGCTAAAAATATTGGGAGCAACTGTAGCTAAAATGCTCTGGGCGATGGCATTTCTTCAAATTATAGTTTAATAATGAAAGGAAAATAACTCATGTTGGAATTTTAAAAAAAATAAAGAAATCTCCCTTCTTTTTCATTTCAAAAAAAAAAAGTTCACATGCACATGTTATGCATAAAAAAAAGATTGAATGTCTTAATGTCATGACCTGTTTGCTTTACAGAGATCAATGTGCTTTGTATCTTTCTGTTTGTGCCCTAGAATTCAGATGGCCATTACATCATTCTAAGGTTCATTTGTAGGTCAATCTAGAGAATTTTCCTTAAGGCTTAAACAAATGTTTCATTTTTTTCTGAAAATGTCAAAGACCTTCAAGGTCAAAAGTCCAAATTTTTGGACCAACACCACCATGCGTACCAGCACAATCATGCGGACCACCACAAGCATGCGGACCACCACCAGCATGCGGACCACCACCGGCATGCTGACCACCACCACCATGCGGACCACCGCCAACATGCGGACCACCGCTACTATGCCGACCACCACCAGCATGCGGATCATCACCACCATGTGGACCACCACCAACATGCGGACCAACATGAACATGCAGACCACTGCCAACATGCGGACCACCACCAGCATGCTGACCACCACCACCATGCAGACCACCGCCAACATGCGGACCACCGCTACTATGCGGACCACCAGCATGCGGACCACCAGCATGCCGACACCACCACCAGCGGACCACCGCCAACATGCGGACCACCACCACCATGTGGACCACCATCAATATGCAGACCACCACCAACATGTAGACCACCGTCAACATGCGGACCACTGCTACTATGCGGACCATCACCATAGCGACCACTGCCGCCAACATGCGGACCACCGCCGCCAACATGCGGACCACCACAACCATGCGGACCGCAAACACCATGCTGCCTACCACCATGATATGGACCACCACCATAATGCAGACCACCCAAATGCGGATCACCATCAATATGCGGACCACCAGCATGCGGACCACCACTATCAGCGGGCCACCGCCAACTTGCAGACCACCGCCAACATGCGGACCACCACTACCATGCGGATGCGGACCGCAACCACATTGCTGACCACGGCCACCATGCGGACCATCACTGCCATGCGGACCTCAATGTCCATGCCGCCCACCACCAGCATATGGACCACCATCAGAATGCAGACCACCAACTTGCGGACCACCATCAATATGCGGACCATCAGCATGCAGACCACCACCACCAGCATGCGGACCACCACCAACATGCGGAGCACCACTACCATGCGGACCTGAACCACAATGCTGACCACCGCAACCATGCGGACCATCACTACCATGCAGACCACCACCGCCAACATGCGGACCACCATCAATATGCGGACCACCACCACCATGCCCACCACCGCAGCCAACATGCAAACCACCATCAATATGCGGACCACCACCAGCATGCGGACCACCACCACCAGCGGACCACCACCAACATGTGGACCACTGCCGACATGCGGACCACCACCAGCTTGTAGACCACCACCGCTATGCGGACCACCACCACCATGCGGACCACCACCACCATGCGGACCACCACCCTCATTCGGACCACCACCACCATGCAGACCACCGCCAACATGCGGACCACCGCTACTATGCGGACCACCAGCATGCGGACCACCAGCATGCCGACCACCACCACCAGCGGACCACCGCCAACATGCGGACCACCACCACCATGTGGACCACCATCAATATGCAGACCACCACCAACATGTAGACCACCGTCAACATGCGGACCACTGCTACTATGCGGACCATCACCATAGCGACCACTGCCGCCAACATGCGGACCACCGCCGCCAACATGCGGACCACCACAACCATGCGGACCGCAAACACCATGCTGCCTACCACCATGATATGGACCACCACCATAATGCAGACCACCAAATGCGGATCACCATCAATATGCGGACACCAGCATGCGGACCACCACTATCAGCGGGCCACCGCCAACTTGCAGACCACCGCCAACATGCGGACCATCACAACCATGCGGATGCGGACCGCAACCACATTGCTGACCACGGCCACCATGCGGACCATCACTGCCATGCGGACCTCAATGTCCATGCCGCCCACCACCAGCATATGGACCACCATCAGAATGCAGACCACCAACTTGCGGACCACCATCAATATGCGGACCATCAGCATGCAGACCACCACCACCAGCATGCGGACCACCACCAACATGCGGAGCACCACTACCATGCGGACCTGAACCACAATGCTGACCACCGCAACCATGCGACCATCACTACCATGCAGACCACCACCGCCAACATGCGGACCACCATCAATATGCGGACCACCACCACCATGCCCACCACCGCAGCCAACATGCAAACCACCATCAATATGCGGACCACCACCAGCATGCGGACCACCACCACCAGCGGACCACCACCAACATGTGGACCACTGCCGACATGCGGACCACCACCAGCTTGTAGACCACCACCGCTATGCGGACCACCACCACCATGCGGACCACCACCACCATGCGGACACCACCCTTCATTCGGACCACCACCCTCATGTGGACCACCACCACCAACATAGAGACCATCACCACCAAAATGCGGACCGCCGTCAACATGCGGACTACCAATGTGCGGACCACAACCACCATGGGGATCACCACCGCTACCATGCGGATCACCACCGCTACCATGCGGACCACCACCATCAAAGCATTTATATATATATATATATATATATATATATATATATATATATATATATATATATATATATATATATATATATATATATAAAGTAAATTTAGATATTCAAAATATATAGACAAAACTAATGTGACCAGACAGACAGATTAAATACTAGTATATAAAAAGGAAACGTTAAGATTTGTTCAAACATTTCTTTGTTTGCTTAAAGAAAAAGTAAAGAATCGAGTGTTGCTCCAACCTGGCGGTGGCTGTGCTTTTTAAGTATCAGTTTCAATTATTTCTATTCAGAATCACATTTTGCAAACTTGGTTATCACTTGTTGAAAGTAATTTTGCACTGTTTCATACAATGTATGCAAAGTTGTTTTCATGTTCACTGAATGCATTTCATCAAAACAACCTTTTGCCTTTTTCCACTATGTAGTTAAAGATACAATTTTTCTCATTTCTTTGAGAGAGTAAGATAATTAACCAGAAATGTTAACTTTCTGGTCAAGTTGACTAGTATACCTATGTTATCTTAAATAAAATTGACCGGTGGTGTCATCCTGACAAACAGTATACATGTATATCTAAATACTGAGATTATATAATTATCTAATTTTTTAGATAATTAGAAAAAATGAAGAAAAATCCCAATTTTGAAAAACAGTCATAGGCAAATTTTATCACAAATTAATGGATGATCACCAAACTTGGTTCCTATCATTTTTACTATAAAGAAAAAAGCAATCAGTGTCCGGAACCCCTTTAATTAGAGAGGTGAGTTGAAGTTGACCTGGACTTCTCTTTCTACAAGTTTATTTGAAAAAATATTTCTATAATCACTGAAAAACAGTTGTTTCTGGTGAGCGATTCAGGGCCATCATGGCCCTTTTGTTTTTTAAGGAACATTCTTGATTACCTTAAATATTGTTTCATTAATTAATGAAGAAATGTAATTAGTAAGATATTAAATCTACTATGTTTGTTATGTTTCAGGTGTATTTGTATTAACAAAGGTGGAGTTTGATATTGGTTTGTTATATAGCCAGTTATTGGACATTAATCAACAAATTAGAAACTGGACTATACCCTCTCCTCAACAGTCGTGCACAGGAAACAACGATTTATTAGACTCCAGTACATTATGATAGTATAAATATTCTGAGTTTGACAAGAAAACTACAATTAATTGGACTTGAATAAATAAAAATAAAATAAAAATGGTAATATGTATTCTGATCAGAACAGAAAACTATAATTTACTGGACTCGAGTAAATAATGATGGTAAAATGTATTCTGATCTGGACAGAAAATTACAATTTATTGGACTCAAGTAAATAATGATGGTATCACAGTATTAAGTATATCACATATTCTGATTACAGCATCAATATTTCTTGCTTTGTGAGAGAGTTTATAAAGAAAGTAAACATGGCTTACATTGGCTTTAAGTATTGAAAATTTATTACCGCTCAAGCCGGTGCTAGAGGGAGTGTTAGATGTTGCACTTTTTCATTATCCCTTATGAACAGACTCAATAAAAACCGAGTCTGCAATGTTCATGTAATTTTGTTGTAATTGATGATTAAAGGGGATCGCTTTTTTACAGACAAGGATTGATTTTATTTCATTGTTCAGTGATTGTTGAGTGTGTATTTAACTAAGTTGAGATGTTTATATTTTGAGAATAAATACTAGTGAACAAGTAATATGGGATAAAATAGAATAAGTATGCATCCTTATTGCTAAATTTGGAAGAATTTTTTTTATATTTTTTAATGATATATCATATGGTAATGTGTGAACAAAAAAGTATTTTTTCATGTCAAGCACAGTCATAGTTATAGTGTGTCACCTGTGCTAGGCTTTTTCTACATAAAAAATCAGGGTACCATTACATTTCATAATTGAGCAAAAATTTAATTATTTAATGTCTACCTATGATATGATAAAATGATATGTTTTAACAATTTTCTACTGAGAACAAAATCATGTCATGTTACTTTATTTGTAAGAAGTGCCAAATTTGTTTCTCCTTCAAAACATGATAATGTTAATTAGAAAGGTTGTAGACTTTGTTAGAGAAATATTTGTTGTGATATATTTGTCACTATTGTAAATTCCCTCATTTTGTTGTACATGATCATCATTGACAACATGATACAAACAAACATTAGATTCCACTTAGACTCTATATATAAATGAATTTTTGTTCATCGAAATCATGAAATGATGACGTGTATGAGAAGACATGAATATAATTTTTCCCTTTTCCAGAATTTTTCGCCCTAAAACATGTTATATAATGTGTGGCAGATGGAAAAAAACCTCCCTGTACTTCATCTCAGTGTATTTAAAATTCCCTGTACTTCATCGCAGTTTTTTTTTACAGAATCATTATGTCGATTTTTGTTATGAAAATTTAATATTGCTGAAAGGGGCACAATACATGTTGCTTCACTTTTTACTCAAAAGTACAATTTCTATTAGTTTATTTTTCAATTGTCTTTTCCATATTTCTCTTTTAAAAGTCCGAGTTGACCTATGTTATAAACTTTATTTTTTTTAGGGGGGCGGCGCTTTTGGACCCTAGCGGTTATATAATAAAGTTTGATTAATCTATAAATTTGAATTAAGTTACAAAGTGAGTCGCATCAGTTTGTTACTGAAATATAAAAGCTACTTTTATATTCTTGTCCTACTAAAATTTTCATTTGAATGTGCTAATTTAGTGCATGTATTTATATTATAAGTAAATAATTTCTGTTTGTTATATGTTGTGTCTGTCTTTAAAAAAAGGATATCAAAGCCAATTTTCATTGTATATTCAAAGTAATATAATATTTATTTGAAAGATATATTATACTGCAAGATTTGCCACATTATTTAAGGGAGTGTACATTTACATTCATAGCTAGTATATAATCAAAGTTAAAAGCTTTGAATGATACACTGTTCTTTATTCTATTTTGAAATAAATTAGAATATTTTTTCTCATAAATTTTGGGGTCTATATGTGTATTAATGACAATTCTGTAGACCTAGTAGTTTAGAATCAGGCCATATATACTAGTTTTTATGTATACAGTCTGTAAATATATGCCACCAGTTATTTCAACATAATAAGATGGATGCCCCCACATTGCACAGTTTTGTCAGACTGCTGAAAACAGGTACCAGGATTGTGATTCATGTTCTCTTTGTCACTCCTTTAAGCCATTATAATAGATATTAACATTCATTAAATTTTCAGCACTTAATTCAAATTGAGAAGTTAGGTAAATAAATGAGAATTTATTCTGTGTGAACTGTTTTTAATAGTATCAGGATCTATTATTTATTCTATCTGGATTTACTTGATGTAGTTTTTAACTAGCTTTATTTAAATTTCTGGATTTTCCTTAACTTTATGAGTTTAATTGTCTGGATTAACTATTGAACTTCCTTTGTTACCAAAATTTGTATTTTTACCAACATGCTTTTGATGTGTATTGATGTATTTGCTTAATCTAAATATAGTTTTTAATTATCAGTATTTTTATTTCACAAAACGAATTGCTTTTGAGCTATTGTAAGTCTTGATGGCAACCCTTTCTCATTATCAGTGTTTCACTACACATACAAACATACTGTTTTATCTTATATAATAGAAATGTACATGTATAATGATTTCCTGATCATGTAATTTCCACATCTATTTTGTCTTTCAACATATTCAGATTTTCACATTTCTCACATTTTCATGCCATTTTTATGATGATAAAAATAGTATTTTTATTAGACATCATTATCCCACAACTTAATTGTAATATAAAACCTAATGTATTGATAGAATTAAATTGTAAAAAACACTTTATTTACTTTTGCTGTTTCTTTATCCTATTTTAAATGGGTTTTTTTTAATGTAAGGCAAAAATAACATATCTAGCATTTTATAATATTATTCAGAATGAGTAAAAAAATCATTTGATGAACTTAAAGGTGTAGAAAGCAAATTCTTTATTTAAACTACTTATATATTGATAACAACAAACCTATGCCAACAGCACTTCCAGCAGTATGAAAATAGGTTATACTGTATACCAATAAGTTTTTACAAGACTCTCTATGTTGGTATTGTTTGTAAGCCCCATCAAGCAAAGACTACATCCATACGTACACCATTCTAATAAGACTTTAAATCTGTAAGCATTTCATTATAAACGTTTTAATATCAACATCCCTTTAATCAGAAATAAAAAGTTTAAAATGGAAAAGTGGAGGAGTCCATTATATCAATAACTATAATTGAAAAGCCGGTATCCATTCAAAGTCTAGGTCAACAAATATCAAAGTTCATATCTTCAATTGAAATATTGCCCATGTAAAAGTCACTTGTTGACAAACCAAATGTTAAAAGTTCTGGGTTGTTGTGGAATCCATGGTTGCTGTGCAATTCTCTGGTTGCGAAGGAAAAGATATTAATGTTGTGAAACGACTTTTTTTCAATGGAAAGGCAATAGTAACTATTGAAGTCTACAGTTGCTAAGGAAAGATATGTTTGCTAAAGAAAGTGAATTGTTGCTATGAAAAGTCAATGGATCCTGAGGGGCGTCTGTGACCGAGTGGTTAAGATCGTTAACTTCAAACCACTTTTCACTGTTGTAGATTTGAGTCGTGCAAGCGTCTTCAGATTCTTTCATACGAGAAATACTCGGGTGTCCGTTTGTGCCTAAAATAATACACATATGGGCACCAGAGGTCTTTTTCCACCAGTGAATTCTCCCTATATGCAAAGTTTTAACTAGAAAGCACGTTTTCTGACAAGCGCGTGTCGGGGGCACTTGTGACAAGCTCTAGTTTCTGCTTCAATTTTAACAACATTTTAGCAGCAGGTAAGGAAGTGTTGTTTTCCGTAAAACGGACATATCCCTATAACAATATGTAACCTGGAACACGTTTTGCTCAGGTAAGCAAAATTGTGCTACATAGTTTTACTTTACGAAAATCAATTGTAGATCTTAAGCTATTGCCCTACTTTAACTTCTTTTAAGAATGCCTTAGTTGTCACGTACTTCACTTTAGTGTTGTTATATTTTTCTAGTCTTTCAGATCATTGGGTCAAGCACTTTTAGTGTTGAAAATAGAGTTCTGCTCAAGCAAGTGCTAGGGGGCATGAAGGATATTGAACAGTTTCATTATCCCTCGTGTACAAGCTCAATTAAATAAAATCTGCAATTTTTATGTAATTTTGCTGTTTTTAATGCTTCCGGGGGATCACTTTATTCCAGATTCTTATTTGAAGATTTAGGGAAGTCTATTTCATGTAAACTGTCCTCAATCAAGTTTAAGTGATATATGTCAAATTTTCCAACTAGTTATGCTGTTTGAAAGTTATATCAAGCTCATAGATTGTTTTAAACTTGTACGGACAGCCTCACAGGTAAACTAACTAAAGATTATCTCATTTATATTTTGATGTTTTTTAGCTCACCCTGGCATTTAGTAGTCATTGCAATTTGTCAGTTGTTCTCAACAATTTCTTTAAACAACATCTACTGAAACAATCTGTGAATTTTGACCTTAAGGAATGATCCTAAAATGGCCCTGTACAAAAGTTATATAAATGATGTCAATTTAATGCATACGTAGGATATATGAGCTAAAAAAGTTTAAAAATAAAATCTTTACAAATTTTCTATAAAACTATAATGTTAAGAGCATAGGTATCTGGCATGTAACATCACATTGTCCTGTACAAAAATTATATATAAATTATAACCATGGTTACCATATGAGGGGATATAAATGTATATACATATGTATATCTATGTAAGAAAACAAATTTAAGTCTTTGTCTGTGGACTACAGTACTTACTTGCTTAAATTCAGGATTGTTGAAGTATTTCAGTTAGTAAATATTAAGTAAAAACTCCAGTAAAACTTTATTTAGTAAAAACACTAAAAAACGACTATGCAAAATACTTTTCTAGCAATTTACAGAAATTAAAAACGAAATGCATTAAAATAGAACTTTGCAATTTGTTTCATTTGATGATAAAGTATCCAAATGATATATCCAGGAAGTCTCTTTTAAATTCTTTTCCAAAAATGTATTATATTAACAATGGGCATAAAATAGGTATTTTAAAGATTATTTTAAGAATTTGCAGTTGAATAATTATTTTTTTTACTATTTACAGTTAGTAAATATAAAATTTATCATTATTCAGTATTTTCAATACCATTATTCAATATTGTAGCTTTCTTGTAAAATCATCACACAAGTTCTTCATCAGCATAAGATTTCCTCAGATCATTCAACCGTAATGATGATTAAAGAGCATGTGACAAATTAACAGGCTTTTATATATATTAAAGCAGTTCCTCCCTAAATTTGTAATATGTTTATATGACAAAACCAACTTTATTTTTAATGGCTTACTGTAAAGTGAATCGGTCTATAATGGATGGTTTGTAAAACAAAAAATATGATGTTGATAGTGTTTAGTATTAGATATAAATACAAACCACAAAAAAATTTTCTATGAATTTTGTTGGCAGGTGTGAGACACATGATCCGATAATACATATATATTTGTATTGCAGATAATAAAAATGTTCTATTACAAAATATTATTATCCATCATATTCATGTTTCATACTATGTATACTAGGTAAAACATTAATAACACTTTTTCCCAAGCAATGTTTAAATTCAATTTCCAAATGAAACCTTTATAACCGCCTCTGTAGTCGAGGGGTTAGAATCGAAGACTTCTAATCCAGTTACCTCTCTGGCGTGGGTTCGATCCTCGGGAGATGCTTGGTAGTTTAGCACGGAGGAAGGTATCTAGTACTGGTGTAACTCTCCAGGAACGATGGTTGGGTAACTACCCGCCTATATGACTGAAATACTGTTGGAAAAAGGTGTAAAATGAAACTTACAAACAAAGAAACCTTTTGTTTATAGCAATGTTTTAAAACACTAATGGAAAATGTGCTTACTGTAGAACTACCCTCTTAAATGTTGACAAATAACAAAGGTATGCAGTGAATTGGGTATTAACTTGTTCTGATAAAACAATCAAAGTTGTATTGTTCTACGACAGTTTATAGATGTGAAGAAAGTTGTCATATTTGTCATCTCTAGTATCACAGCTGAAATACAGCTCCTTTGTTTCACCACACCAACATACAGCCTGTGGTTTCTTCAGATCCTGCAGCACAACCTTTCCTGTAGAACAGTCTCCTGATATCTCTTCTATGACTTTTCTCTTACTGTCACACACAAAGACGGTACCATCATCTGACAGTAAAAATTCCCATAGGAACACTCATACCACTATAACTACCTATCATATAACCTTGCCAGTTTAATTTTGTTAATGTCTTCGTGCCCCAGTCAGATACATAGATAGAACTTCTGTTACATGTAATATACCATGAATCTTTGAAAATATTTTTTCCATCAATTGTTGCCAGTATGGTGCCATTCAGGTCAAGGATCTGAAGCTTTGTAGGGTTTCTGAATGACACAATAAGTTTACCTTAGTAACAGCTTATACGCTAATGCATCTTTTAGAGAGCTGTTTGATTTGTTTGTCATGTTCTTGACATCTTCTACCATCTGTTGAAATTGGTCAGAATTGTGATTCAATCTTTTTAGAATATCTTGATATTCTTTGCTGTCTATTATATCACCAGAAATGTCTGGTATATAATCAACTTTGCAGGAAGTAGCTTGATGTTCAAGGGTAACACAAACACTGCAAAGTAGTTTTTTATGGTCATTGCAGTAGAACTTGATCATTTCTTGTGGATGTTTAAGACAGAGTGTGGTCAGGACATCAGACTGGCCTGTGTGAATAGATGTTGAGGGTTGCTGAAATACTTTAGGCATATTAATAGCGTCCTGAAGTGTGTGATGTTTTGAAAGCCTACTGACTTTGTGTGCCGTAAAACAATTCTTGCAGAGGTGTTCCTTGCAGTCAGTGCAGTAACCATGGGCAGGTAGTCTAGGTCCTTCCTCGTCACAAGGCTGGCAGTAAATTTGAAGATCTTCATCTGATGCCATGGATGTTGTAGATGATGAAAATTGTTTTGATGCTTTTTTTCCTGAGACTGCCATGTTTTATCTAAAATGTATTATAATAGATTACTGTGTATTGCATGTTTATCAAATTGCCTTTTTTGTATATATGTAATTATGTCATACTCTAAAAGACAATTCAAAACATTGGTAGTACCTTGCTTACTTTTATGACTTGTTTGAGGTAAAATGTTGAGTAAAAAAAATCTCGATATTTCGTTATCTCAATGAAATTTTAGAAGTCTCGATTTTTTCCTTCTTTATCTGTATTGGAAATATTTGTTTATCTTGATAATTTCAATATGTTTAGTATTTCGAAGTAAAATTTCAGCCCCGACAGTAATTTTCACGCTATAATCCTTTCTTTATATCGACTAATAATTTTTTGTCTCACCCCCGCAGAGGTGAAAAAACACAAACCAGACGATAATCACTTAATAGCATGTGTCATAATGATATCAAACAGCGGTATAACTATCTCGAGAATGGTTCGATAACCAACCCGGGAAGATATCTGGATCGACCATGTTGAAAATGTTTACACTATAGTGGTGTTTTACTTAATTTTATCGCTGACTTCTATATTTCCGCTGGTAAACATCCGCTAATTTAACTTATCGACTTTGGGATATAAGGCTCAGGAAAACAAGACATGGAGATATCATACTTTTAATTTATTTGACTTAAGATATGCACATGCCTTTGTAAAAAATCAGTTACTGCCTTGTTCAAACCTTACACGTTATCTCGACATTTCGTTATCTCGATATTTTTTGGACGGTCCCAATGACTTTGAGATAACGAAAATCGACTGTATATAAAAATATGTCATTGTTAAAGGGGAATATGTACACATTTTAAAGACTACCATTGAGACAGACAAAAAAAGTAGTATGTACAAATATATAAGTATGCCATTGTGCGAGACAAAACAAAATATGTACAAATGAATAAGTATGCCTTTGTGCAAGACAAAATAAAATATGTACAAATATGTCATTGTTACAAGTAATTAAGTATACAATTGTCACAAAAAGTACAAATCTATAAGTATGCCATTGATACATGTACACATATATAAAAGTGCAAATTTGACAAATGAAATTTGTACAAATATGTAAGTATGCCATTGTGACAAACAAAATTGAAATATGTACAAATAGATGTATGTAAGTATGCCCTTGTGACAGGCAAATAGAATATTGTGACAGACAAAATAACATTAACTATTTTAATTAAAGAATTGAGAATTTAGTACCTCATCAATGAAACTTTCATGAGCTTAAATTATGACAAATATCCCTTTTTTCGACATCAAATGTCAGGTTCATTTATTACACATTTTAATAAAAACAAGAAATAAAAACTGCATTTCATCTTATATTAGCTATTGACTTAATTGTATATACACTTGAATGCTTTAGCTTTTTTATTTGTACCTCATTTTCGAGCCAAAGTTATTTTGTTTTGTATGTGAGAATGAAAAGCCTTTGTTTCGAATGTTTCCTGGCCAGCGTAAACAATTAAGTGTGTTTATCCAAAATATTCATTTATATTGCATATAATTTTTTATGTGTGTTTTTATTATATTGATAATTATGTTTTTATTATATTGATAACAGCAATTATATATCTGATAAGATAGTGGGAGGGGAAACAAACACTATAAATAAATCAATTATGACAAGCCTATACAAGGTAGATGCTGTGCTCAATGTAAATGTTATCTGCAGACAGACATACAGACAGACATACAGACAGACAGCACAAAACCAAAAAATATGGAACAAAAATCTTCAAATTTGTGCTATCATCATTACTGTTTAAAAAGTGCTATTTATATGCTTTTATTGATTTAACATTGTTTAAAAAAGTCCTATTCAATAATGTATCTGAAATTTCATAAACCTCAATTTGTCAACAGTATTTTATTACCGTAGAGCTTAAAACCATAGCATCGTGCTTTAAAAAAAACAATTTATACATTATGTTCATATGAAGAAAAACCAAAAAGGAAATCATCCTACCTTGAGTTATCCTCAAAATTGTGTCACAGGTTTGAAATCATCCACTGTAATGTCTTTATTTTTCTAAAGGTTTAACGTAAATATTTTTCTGTTACTATTGGAGTCATGGATTTCATGGAATTCGATAACGATATTTATTTCGATATTTTGCAACATTGATTTTTAAAATTGTATACATTTCAAACGTAACAGTTTAAATATAAGAGATAACAGGCCTTTATTTAGCTGATACAAGTGTATGCTGAAAATATATCAGATTTTAATATTGTGTTTAAAACTAGTATTTTAATCATTCAGTAGAGATAAATTTGATATTTAAATCCCGGTTGTTCTTTTTCACAAATTTTAAACCATTACTTATAATGTAAGTTTATACATGTCCACATTGTTTAAACTGATGCATATATGTATAAGGATCATAAATGATATTTATACATTAAAGGGGTTGTAAATGTGTTTTTAAAGCATTTAGAGATTGAGTAGACCTCACAATTAGGGATTTCAACTTCCATTGAAAGATTATTATGATTAATGATATATGGGTATCTCATCAATATTATTTGACATCAAATGCATAACACTTTAAGTTTAATGATGATGTCAAGGTTACTGTTAAAACTCGGAAGTTTGAATCTGCTAAATGCTGCTCTCAAACTATCTAATCTCTTGTTTTAAACTTCTCTCAAAACTCATACTTTAGATTCTCAGCTTTAAAGCTATTTACTCAGACATAGTTTGTCTGTGGTTTAAAGAATGGCTTGTCTTATAAAAAACAAAC